CCGTTTGCTTAGATATGGATGCTAAATTTAATTCCGAATACCTTACATTTGGTCTTATTAATATTGCAGCACCACCATACCCTTTTTTGCGACAAAAGCTGCTGGCCACCTTATAGTCAAGTAGTGTTAAGATCTCCACCTCGGCTGCCGTTAACCAGTGTTCACTGAAACAAACAATATGAGGTGGGTTGTCTGATAAATGTAGTTCTAAGTCATTAACTTTACGCCGCAGTGACTGTATATTTAGATAAAAAAGGTTTAGCCAGTTGACTCCTAGTGCGGTTTTCCTACTTGTATGGCTGTTGTCTGTTTCGCTCATCAGCCTTTTACCTGGGTTGTCCTCATAGGCGTTATGGGCAGCTAAGTGGATTTTTTCTGTCGGCTTCTTCGGTGAAAATATCGCGTAACATAGCTGCCATTGGGCCATATTTGTGGATTCATTGCATCTTGGAAACGGTGTAGGTCAATTGTTACTTTGAAAGCAGAGTAGAACATAGAATATTTGGTTTCCACTTGTTCACATTGGACTTCCGGGAATTCACCTTTCAGTAGTTCGCAAACTTCAGTCGGTTTTGTATTTGGCGCCAGGCGTGATACAAAAATAAATCCTTTTTTGGGGGCAGCCTTAATAGAAGATTTTGTAACATCTTCTTTATTCCCTATTACTACAGACACTACTTTCTTTTTGGTTATCTTTTTACGTGATACGGTTTCCCACTTAACGCTTGTTGTGTCATCTGGTGCTGATGATTTAATTGTGGGTGATGTATTCTCCGTTTTCATGGCTTTCTTCTTTTCGTCTTCAGTTGATTTACTCACAGGATGGGCAGTTTTATTTCCTGTGTGGGACGCCACTGGATTGGGTTTCGTTGCAGTGAGTTTATCACCATTTTTTATTGTGATCTTATCTTTGGGTCGACAGCTGACGGTGGAATGAGTTGGTCTTGGCAGTTCACTCACATGCATTGTTGCTTCAAATTCTTGGATTTTTGTCACGACGTAGTTCAGAGTATGTGCTAGCTCATCCTTTAGCTTGCTTAGATTGTTTTCGATAATTTTCTTATCAGAGAGACGGGTTTTTGCTACTATCTCGAGGAGTTGTTCACGCAGTCTTCGATTTTCGTTCTCTAAAGAGGTTACTTTACACTTGAGCTCGTCGATGGTATTAATTCTACCATCATCGTCATCATCACTGCAGTAGATTTCGCCACTCGTATTTAGGTCTTCGTTGTATGTGACCGAGTTGTCCTTGACACTTTTTCTGTCGGGAGTTTCCTCTTCTAAATGTGGGTTTGCACAACAGCTTTTATTCACCTTGCTTTTCCCATACCCGGAACAACTATAGTGAGCATATTGACCACAATTTAGGCACATAACTCGTTTCTTAACCGCTGGTTTTTGACAAAACGTGCAGAGCACTTTATTTTGCGTGTCGTGGCTTTCCGCCATCTTTCCAACTTTATTGATTGATTTATTGATGATTTATGATTATTTCAAAGTCGGCAAAAAATCACCCAAAAATTCTGAGGAGTAGCTCTCAACGAACGGAATCAGAAATTATAACATATTTGTGACCTCGGAACAAGCTTATAATTGGAAATCAAAATTCTGAATTACTGATTATAGTTTTCCAAAAGAACACATTCAGCACGATTCCGAAAAAGTTGTCGACAAAAATTACGAAAAAATTCGCATTTAGTCAGAGATGTTGTGTCTATTTGGAGAAAAAATGAAAAATTCGTACGATGACTATTTTCCGAAATGTGTAGGTTCAAATTCGAATTTTTTGAACATCTCAAAATTTGCTATTTATCATTTTCGCAATTTTGGTCAAACGATAGGACAACTGATATTTTAAAACACTTCAAGAGCTTGAACTTAACCCAAAAGAATTATTTGATATTTTTTGAAAATTATCTGCAGAAAGTCAAAAATTTCAAGTTTTATCAAATTTCCAAAATTTGATTCTTTCAAAGTCGGCGACAAATCGCCCAAAAATTCTGACGAGTAGCCCTCAACGAACTGAATTGGAAAATATGTCATATATGTGACTTCGGAATAAGATTATAACTGAAAATCAAAATTCTCAATTAATGATTTTAGTTTTCCAAAAGAACACATTCAGCACGATTCCGGAAAAGTTGTCGAGGCAAAAATTATGGAAAAATTCACATTTAATCAGAGATGTTGTATGTATTTGGAGAAAAAATGAGAAATTCGTACGATAACTATTTTCCGAAAAGTGTAGGTTCAAATTCGAATTTTCAGAACATCCCAAAATTTCCTATTTATCATTTTCGCAATTTTGGTCAACCGATAGGACATATAGTTCAACTGACATTTTAAAACACTTCAGGAGTTTGAACTTAACCCAAGAGAATTATCTGATACTTTTTGAAAATTATCTGCAGAAAGTCAAAAATTTCATGTTTTATCAAAAATCGAAAAATTGATTTTTAAAAAGTCGACGAAAAATCGCCCAAAAATTCTGACGAGTAGCCCTGAACGAACTGAATTGGAAAATATATCATATATGTGACTTCGGAATTAGATTATAACTGGAAATGAAAATTTTGAATTAATCTTTAAATTTTTCCAAAAGAATACATTCAGCAAGATTCCGGAAAAGTTGTCGAGACAAAAATTACGAAAAAATTCACATTTAATCACAGATGTTGTATCTATTCGGAGAAAAAAAGAGAAATTCGTGCGATGACTATTTTCCGAAATGTGTAGGTTCAAATTCGAATTTTTAGAACATCTCAAAATTTGCTATTTATCATTTTGGCAATTTTGGTCAAACGATAGGACATATAGTTCAACTGACATTTTAAAACACTTCAGGGACTTGAACTTAACCCAAAAGGATTATTTGATATTTTTTGAAAATTATCTGCAGAAAGTCAAAAATTTCAAGTTTTATTAAATTTCCAAAAATTGATTCTTTCAAAGTCGACGAAAAATCGCCCAAAAATTCTGACGAGTAGCCCTCAACGAACTGAATTGGAAAATACATCACATTTGTGACTTCGGAACAAGATTATAACTGGAAATGAAAATTCTGAATTAATGATTATATTTTTCCAAAAGAACACATTCAGCACAATTCTGGAAAAGTTGTCAAAGTGAAAATTACACAAAAATTCACACTTAAGCAGAAATGTCGTATCTATCTGGAGAAAAAAGGAGAAATTCGTAGGATAACTATTATCCGAACTATGTATGTTTAAATTAGAATTTTTAGAATATTTCAAATTTTGAAATTTATCGTTTTCGAAATTTTGATGAAACGACAAGAAATACCGACCAACGGACATTTAAAAACACTTCAGGTGCTTGAACTTGACCGAGGAAAATTGTTTCATATTTTTTGGAGATCTTGAGTAGAAAGTCAAAAATTTCAAACTTTATTCAAATATCAAAAAAATTATTTTCTTCGAAGTCGCCAAAAAATCGCTCAAAAATCTTGAGGAGTAGATTTCAACGAGCTGAACCGAAAAATATAGCATCTTTGTGCTCTCAGAGCAAGATTATAGTTGATAATCAAAATTTTGAACTAATTATGGTATTTTTTTCCGAAAGAACACATTCAGCACGACTCCCGAAAAGTTGCTGAAACAAAAATTACGAAAAAAATCACACGTAAGTAGAGATGCCGTGTTTATTTGGACAAAAAAGGAAAAGTTTGTACAGTGACTACTTTCTGAAAAATGTAGGTTCAAATTCGAATTTTTAGAAAATTTCAAAATTTATCAGGTATCATTTTGGGTATTTTGGTAAAACAACAGGAAATATCGAGCGACAGACATCTTAAATACTTCAGGAGGTTGAACTTGAACGAGGAGAATTTTTTGTTATTTTTTTAAAGACCTTCAGTTGAAAGTCAAAAATGTCAAGCTTTATCAAATCTCCAAAAATTGACTTTTTTTTCTAAATTGGCTTAAAATCGCCCAAAAAACTAAGGAGTGGATTTCAGCAAGCTGAACTGAAAAATATACCAGATTCTGACCCTGGAACAATATTGTAGCTGGAAATCAAAATTCTGGATTAATGATAATTTTTTTTACAAAACAACACATTCAGTACGATTCCGGAAAAGTTGTCAAGGTAAAAATTACACAAAAATTCACACTTAAGCAGAAATGTCGTATCTATCTGGAGAAAAAAGGAGAAATTCGTACGGTAACTATTATCCGAACTATGTATGTTTAAATTAGAATTTTTAGAATATCTCAAATTTTGCCATTTATCGTTTTCGAAATTTTCATAAAACGACAAGAAATACCAACTAACGGACATTTAAAAACACTTCAGGTGCTTGAACTTGACCGAGGAAAATTGTTTCATATTTTTTTCAATTATTTTCTTCGAAGTCGCCAAAAAATCCCTCAAAAATTTTGAGGAGTAGATTTCAACGAGCTGAACCGAAAAATATAGCATATTTGTGCTCTCAGAGCAAGATTATAGTTGGAAATCAAAATTTGAACTAATTATGGTATTTTTTTCCAAAAGAACACATTCAGCACGACTCCAGAAAAGTTGCTAAGACAAAAATTACGAAAAAAATCACACGTAAGTAGAGATGCCGTGTTTATTTAGACAAAAAAAGGAAAAGTTTGTACAGTGACTACTTTCTGAAAAATGTAGGTTCAAATTCGAATTTTCAGACTTCGGAATAAGATTATAACTGGAAATGAAAATTCTGAATTAATATGTTTATATTTTTCCAAAAGAACAAAGAAGTACCTATATTTCGTAATAATTCACATCTCAGTGTGCGTTAGAAATTCAAATTTATGTTGGCAACATCGTGAAAAAGCGCGTCTAGTATTTTCAAATTGACATTACTACTCTAGGTCTCTAGGTCTCTATTTTTGAGTTTGGACGAATCTTTGGGGGTCCTTGATGTGTGTATGTTTTTTTTTAATATGAAAAAATCTTGGGGTTCTTATAATAATATTGATTCAATGATATACATAGTTCTAAAAACATGGCAACCATGTCTGTCACCGTTTGACAGTTCGTTCGACGAAAAAATTGCAATGAAATGAAAACCAACAACAAATTTGAGTTAAATTAGTAAAAATGGTCCACAGAGACATATACCACATCGTAACCTTAATAATCAACGACAAATACAGCCGATATGCCGCTCTAGCAGTTACAATCTTGTCATTAAAATTAGCCCTGTTTTATAGGTTAGAATAATCAATACATATCCCCGTGTTACACACATTTTTTTAGTTCCATCGCTGCGTTGGTAGTTTACGGCGGATACGTCCTAGGTTGCTTCGTGTGTTGGTGCCTCCTTAAATACCACAGCACAGCTTCAGTGTACCTCCTCAGTCTTGTTACTTTTTGCTATGGAAACAACTCCTTTCGCAAGAGATTGAAACAGTCTTGCAGCATTTGCGACGATTTATCGTGCAAGAGACATCTACAAAGCAAAGTGGTGACACCGTGGAAGGATTTGTACATTCCAAAGGAACTAAACAGTGCACTTGAGGAGGTAAATGTCACCCTCAAACCACTGTATATAAAATAATTGTTTGCAGTTTTATAACAAAATCTTGGAAAATTTTATAACTTCTTGGTATGGTCAATTCACCACTGACGCCGACTTTCTGAACGAACTTCGCTATTGTTTACAATACGCGAGTGCCGCTATTATTACAGAGTTTCAAAATCTGGATCATGCTAGTATAATATCGCGAAAATTAGTACCGTGTGTTATTAAACACATCGATGACTATCTTTACATGCAACAAATCGTCAAACTGAAAAAGTCGCGGTTTAATGATGTTGTGGTGGATTATTTGGGGAAGAGGCTCCACGTGGCCACCGTGAATCGAAAAAGTGAATTGAGCTATCTTCAGTATTTAGCGTCGTCGTTGATGCCGCAAGTTCTCCCCGACAAGTACTTACAATGCAAAAATTATTTAGTTTTAATTAGAGAAATATTAGCTGGGTGGGTTTTACTACCCTTGATGGACGTTCTAGCTGACCCTAACATAATAAATTTGTTGGTAATACTCGCCAGTACGTACAAACCCAAGTATCAAATGAAGAATAAATCAGTCTGTAACAAAGTACAATTTTTGAAAAATTTCATTAACAATAATAGCCAAGATTCGTCGTTTGCCACGGATTTGAACACTATTAAGGGTAACACTGAGTTACTATACGCCTTTATGCAGTTTTTGAAAAAGGAGGAGCATGTACATTTGTTGCAGTTTTGTCTGGATGTTGGTAATACTGTTAGAATTAATGAGAGTTATTATAGCTGCACAGGTGTTTTTAGATGAATTTAATAACAAGCTTTTGACTCCTGAGTTGTCTAAAAAACAACTAGAGGAGCTCCACTCAGAAGCGCTAACTCTGTATAAAGAGTACTTGAGTCAAGATTGCGTCAATTTTGTCGGTTGTCCAGACGAAATTGTCAATGATTACTACGCCCTCATCAAAGACGGCGTCTACAACGTGGCGAGATTGCGCACCTCCAAACCCCTGTATCAAGCATATGAGCACACTTTTACAGTCCTGGAAAAAATTTGGTTGCCGTCGTTTTTTCACAGCAATGAGGTATTACTATTTTATTATGATAAAAACGACGTTTTTTGACGAAATTTAAAGTTTTATAGCCACATTTGTGGGGCGAAGATCACCGCCACCTACAACAAAGCCGCCGCTTCCAGGTAAGACGGATTTGAATTCAGTTTTACTAAGTTTTAACAGATCTGTTGTTAATTTTGGCTCACCTCTGAAAACGCGGTGAGTTTTTTTCTAGTTTCAATTTTATATGTATTCGTTCACGATCTTTATATAGTAGGGTTGGCCATGAAAATTTAGTGAGTTTGTTGGTATTCGATGCAGAAGAATAAAAATTCCCTGAACTTTTTTCGTTAGGTTATGTTTTATATACAACAAAAATTAAAATGCTTAAAATTTTTCAAGTTTTCATTGTATATTTTTCGTTTCCTCAATTTTTCAAGTTCTCAAGTTTTATTTTTCATTTTCCCGATTTTTTTAATTTTCATTTTCTCGGTTTTGTGTCACAAATTTTCATTTTTTCAATTCCTTTATTTCTTGTTGTTTCTTTCGATTTTTCAATTTTTCGTTTCGTCAATTTTTTGAATTTTCAGTTTCTCAATTTTTCATGTTTCCGATTTTTATTTTTCACTGTAGCGAATTTGTAATTTTTATTTTCTCGATTTATATCACATTTGTCGGTTTTTTCATTTCCTTTATTTTCTGTGTTTTCTTTTTTTCGATTTTACAATTTTTCAAATTTTCAGGCTTTGAATTTTCAGTTCATCCATTTTTAAATTTTTACTTTGCAGTTGTTGGATTTCCAGTCTTCCGATTTTCCAATTTCTTTAATTTTCAATATTTCTATTTTTACAATTTCTCGACTTCCAAAATTTTCAATTTTTCGGTTTTCATCACTTTTTCAAATTGGCAATTTTTCAATATTAAAGATTTTCATTTTTCGATTTTTCAGTTTCTCAATTTTTAATTTTTCCCTTTTCCAATTTTTTGTTTCCGATTTTTATTTTTCATTTTCCCGATTTTTTAATTTTCACTTTTTCGATTTTACATCACAATTTTTCGTTTTTTCATTTCCTTGATTTTTTGTTGTTTCTTTCGATTTTTCAAATTTTCGTTTCTTCAAATTTTCATGTTTGATTTTCACTTTTGACATTTTTCAAGTTTTCATTATATACTTTTTCGTTTTTTTATTTTTGATTTTTCAATTTTACAATTTCTTGACTTCTAAATTTTTCAATTTTTCGAGTTGCAATTTTTTAATTTTGCAAAATTTCGATATTTACAGTTTCTCATTTTTCGATTTTTCACATTCTCAGTTTTTAATTTTTGTCATTTTCAATTTTTCGTTTCCTCAATTTTTCAAGTTCTCGAGTTTTATTTTTCATTTTCCCGATTTTATTAATTTTCATTTTCTCGGTTTTGTCACAAATTTTCATTTTTTCAATTCCTTTATTTCTTGTTGTTTCTACCGATTTTTCAATTTTTTGTTTCGTCAATTTTTCGAATTTTCAGTTTCTCAATTTTTCGTTTTCACAATTTTTCATGTTCCCGATTTTTATTTTTCAATGTGGCGAATTTTTAATTTTTATTTTTTCGATTTACATCACGATTGTCCGTTTTTTCATTTCCTTTATTTCTGTGTTTTTTTTTTTCGATTTTACAATTTTTCATTTGTTCAATTTTTCAAATTTTCCGGCTTTGAATTTTCAGTTCGTCCATTTTTCAATTTTTAAATTTTTACTTTGCAGTTTTTGGATTTCCAGTCTTCCAATTTTACAATTTCTTTAAATTATCAATATTTCTATTTCATAATACATATTTCTTTTTTTTTTCACTTTTTCGATTCTTAAGATTTTTCAAGTTTTCATTTCGTGATTTTTCGTTTTTTATTTTTGATTTTTCAATTTTACAATTTCTCGACTGCCAAAATTTTCAATTTTTCGTTCCTTCAATTTTTCGGTCTGCATCAGTTTTTCAATTTGGCAATTTTTCAATATTACAGATTTTCATTTTTCGATTTTTCAGTTTCTCAATTTTTCATTTTTCCCTTTTCCAATTTTTTGTTTCCGATTTTTATTTTTCATTTCCCCGATTTTTTAATTTTCACTTTTTCGATTTTATATCACAATTTTTCGTTTTTTCATTTCCTTTATTTTTTGATGTTTCTTTCGATTTTTCAAATTTTCGTTTCTTCAAATTCTCATGTTTGATTTTCACTTCTGACATTTTTCAAGTTTTCACTATATACTTTTTCGTTTTTTTAATTTTGATTTTTCAATTTTACAATTTCTTGACTTCTAAATTTTTCAATTTTTCGAGTTGCAATTTTTTAATTTTGCAATTTTTCGATATTACAGTTTCTCATTTTTTGATTTTTCACATTCTCAGTTTTTAATTTTTGTCATTTTCAATTTCGTTTCCTCAATTTTTCAAGTTCTCGATTTTTATTTTTCATTTTCCCGATTTTTTTAATTTTTATTTTCTCGGTTTTATGTCACAAATTTTCATTTTTTCAATTCCTTTATTTCTTGTTGTTTCAATCGATTTTTCAATTTTTCGTTTCGTCAATTTTTCGAATTTTCAGTTTCTCAATTTTTCGTTTCCACAATTTTTCATGTTCCCGGTTTTTATTTTTCAATGTGGCGAATTTTTAATTTTTATTTTCTCGATTTATATCACAATTGTCCGTTTTTTTATTTCCTTTATTTTCTGTGTTTTTTTTTTCGATTGTACAATTTTTCATTTGTTCAATTTTTCAAATTTTCAGGCTTTGAATTTTCAGTTCGTCTATTTTTCAATTTTTAAATTTTTACTTTGCAGCTTTTGGATTTCCAGTCTTCCGATTTTCCAATTTCTTTAATTTTCAATATTTCTATTTCATAATACGTATTTCTTTTTTTTTGATTTTCGCTTTTTCGATTCTTAAGATTTTTCAAGTTTTCATTTTGTAATTTTTCGTTTTTTATTTTTGATTTTTCAATTTTACAATTTCTCGACTTCCAAAATTTTCAGTTTTTCATTCCTTCAATTTTTTGGTTTGCATCAGTTTTTCAATTTGGCAATTTTTCCATATTACAGATTTTCATTTTTCGATTTTTCAGTTTCTCAATATTTAATTTTTCCCTTTTCCAATTTTTTGTTTCCGATTTTTATTTTTCATTTTTCCGATTTTTTAATTTTCACTTTTTCGATTTTATATCACAATTTTTGGTTTTTTCATTTCCTTTATTTTTTGTTGTTTCTTTCGATTTTACAATTTTTCGTTTGTTCAAATTTTCAGGTTTTTTCCAATTTTTCTTCAAATTTTCAAGTTTGATTTTCACTTTTACATTTTTCATTTATCAAGTTTTTATTATATGTACTTACACTTCAAATTTTCAAGCCAATCGATTCCAATTCGTCGAATTTCCAATTTTTAAATTTTTCAGTTTTTGGGTTCCACCCCTTTTTTACTTTTTGGATTTCCAATTTTTCGTTAAACTTGAGATTTGTCGAAAATTTGGACAGTTTTATACTTCGATTTCTCAATGTTTTTCAACTTTTCGATGTTTCAATTTTTCTTTTTTATAGTTTTTCATTTTTTTTTATTTCTCGATTTATCGAATTCAGATCTTTGGATGTTTTGATTGTTTAATTTATCAATTTCTCAATTTTTTTCTATTTCTCAATGTTTCGATTTTTGGATTTCTCGGTTTTTCGATTTTCCAATTTTTCGATGTTTCGATTTTTCAGTTATCCGATTTTTCAATTTTTTTAAATTCTGCAGTTTCGATTTGTCGATTTTTCAGTTTTTCGATTTTTAAGTTTTAGATTTTCGAATTTTTTTTTTTTTTGATTCTTCGATGTTTGTATTTCTCCATTTTTCGATTTCTGGATTTTTTGATTTTCCAGTTCTTCAATATTTCTAAATTCCAATTTTTCAAATTTTGACGTTGCTAAATTTTCAGTTTTCCCATTTTTCAATTAATATAATTTTTTTTTATTTTCCCGTTCCTCGAATTCGCTGTTTCCGTTTTTCAGTTCTTCAATTCTTCGATTTTTTGGATTTTTCGGTTGGCTAAATTTTTAATTTTTCAATTTTGGATATTTGTTTGGGTTTTTGGATTTTTGTATATTTCTATTTTTCGACTTTTCTATTTTTTATTTTTTGAATTTTCAGTTTTTCGTTTTTTAAACTTTAGATTTTTCACTTTTCGTCTGTTTTATATGTATGTATTTCGATTTCTGAATTTTTCGAGTTTTCAGTTCTTGTATATTTTAATTTTTCTTTTTTCCGAATTTTTTATTTTTCGATTTTTCAATTTTTGAAAACTGGATTTATCGAAATTCGGATGTTTCGATTTTTCGATTTATCGGTTTTTCGTTTTTCTACTTTTCGGTTTTTCGCTTTTCGATTTTTGAATTATCCGACTTTTCAATTTTCCAATTTTTTAAATTTTCAAGTTTTGACTTTTCTGAATTTTCAGTTTCCCGATTTCTCAATTAATCTATTTTTTGAATTGCCCATTTTCGACTTGCCAACGTTTCGATTTTTCAGTTTTTCAGTTCGTCAATTTTTCAATTTTTCGATTCTTTAGGTTTTTCGATTTCCCAATTTTTCAATTTTTTAATCTCCCAATTTTTGGATATTTCGTTCAATTTTGTGAGTTTTCTCAATTTTTCGATTCTTCAATTTTTCAATTTTGGGATTTTTTAGTATTTCGACTTCTGGATTTTTCACGTTCCTGATTTTTCGAAAAAAAAACTTAAAAATTTGAAAAATTGAAAAATTGAGAGATTGAAAGATCAAAAGAACGAGAAATCGAAAAGTGATGAAGTCGAAAAATAGTGAAATCGACAAACAAAAAGTTAAAAGTTGAAAAATTGGAAAGCGGAAAAATCAAAAAACGAAAAAATGGAAAATAACATCTAAAACCAGGAAGTCGAAAAATCGAAAGATTAAGAAATATTGAAAAATTAAAATTCAAAAGATTGAAAAATCTAAAATTTAAAAACTCAAAAATTGAAAAAAATCATAAGGTAGACCCATCGAAAAATCCAGAAGTCAAAAATAGAAAAGCCGAAAAATTGAAATATTGAAAAATCCTAAAACTGAAAAATCGAAAAATCAAAAAAGTGAAGTCGAAAAATAGAAACCTTTAAAAATCGAAAAACTGAAAAAACAAAAATTTAAAGAATTGAAGAACAGGAAAATCGAAACACTCGAAGGTCAAGAAATGGGAAAATCAAAACATCGATTAATTGAAAAATCGAAAAATTGAGAGTTTATAAAAGTCAAATTTGAAAAATTAAAAAATCGAAAATTTGAAGAAATGACAATTGAAAAACAGAAAATCTAAAACCGGTCGAAAAATCAAGATTAAGAAATCGAAAAATCAAAAATTTTAAACATTGAAAAATTAAAATACCAAAAAATTGAGAAATCTATAATTTAAAAATCGAAAAAGTAAAAAGTCGACACATCGAAAAATCCAGAAGTCAAAAGTGGAAAAGTCCAAGAACAGAAATACTGAAAAATCCCAAATCTGAAATATCGAAAAACTGAAAAATGAAAGAAAAAGTGACGAATCGAAAAACTGAAAACTCCCAAAACTGAAATATCCAAAAACTGAGAATCCAAAGAATCGAAAAATTGAGAAATCGAAAATTCAAAAAAGTGAAGTCGAAATATCGAAACCTGAAAAAATAGAAAAATAGAAAAACCTGAAAAATCAATTAATTGAAAAATCGACAAATAAAGAGTTTACAAAAGTCAAAAATTAAAAAATGGAAATATTTAAAAATCGTAAAATTGAAGAGAAAAACTGAAAACCGAGAAATTGAAAAATTGAGAAACTGTAAAATCCAAAAATTGAATAATAAATAGGAGTAAACTGAAAAATCCCCAAACTAAAATTTCGAAAAGCTGAGAATTCGAAATTGAAACAGCAAGAAATTATGGTCGAAACCGGTTAGGATGTGTATCAGATCACGGATCATGGCTTATAAATCAAATCGTTTCCGAGCGCTTAGAGTCGACATTGGCTTGAGTGCGCTGTGGTCTGTAGATCAAACGAGTTCTCAGACGACGAACTGTAATTCGTGTGACCTGAATTAAATTGAAGGAAACAGTAAGCAGCTTGTAATATTCTGGTAAATCTAGTGTCAATTTGTCGAAAGTAAAACGCTTTGTTAAAAATATTATGACATTTTGCAATCAAGATGCCGGACGACGAGGATGCAAATCCAGTCGATCCGCTAAAAAGTTTACATTGTAAAATCTGTAAATGCTATATAGCTAAAAACGCGCCGAAAATTAGATGTAATGCCAAAAGTTGTTCCACATATGTTCATGTGAAATGTTTTGAAAATCTGAATAACATCATTATCATCGACAAAAACAGTTGGGTTTGTAAATTATGCAATCCGAATCAGTATGGTGCTAGTGCTAGTGATGTAAGTGGTGCCCAGATCAGTGCTGATGTGCAAGATAAAGTGAAATTGTTAGAAGAATTAGTCCGAGAGCTACAAAACGTTAATAATCTGCAAAGAGAAAAAATTGCCAATCTTGAAAAAGCGAATTCCTTATTTACAATGCCAGCATTGTCGCGTTCATATAGTGAGGTGGCAAAAAATCAATCGTGTGATATTTTAGTTAAACATCCAAGTGGGTCATCTGCAAGTCAGGAAGGTAAAAATGACGTCCTTAATAATATTAGAAGTCAGGTGGATCCTGCGGCTCTGAACGCCCGTGTGGAGTCTACGAAAATTGTAAAATCGGGGTTGATTATAAAGTGTGCTGATGATGAGTCCCGCAGCGTGCTGATGCAAGAGCTTAAATCTACGTTGGGTGAAGCTTATTCTGTTGAGAAGAGCAAAAAGTGGAGTCCGCGTGTTATAATTAAAGATATTGATTTAGATTTCTTTGAATATGATGATGCAAGATTGATCAGAAAAATAGTAACATCTAATGAGCTTGATGAAACCCTTATTACCAGTGATGTTAAAATTATAACTAGGATAAAATTTAAAAAAAGTTTTAATGTTGTAATACAAGTAAGCTATCAAGTTCGTAATATCTTAGTGAGTAAGGGTAAAGTTTTTGTAGGTTGGCGTTCATGTAAATGTAATGATAACTTTAGGATACTAAAATGTTTTAAATGCCTAAGATATGGGCATATGAGTCGTGATTGTAAAAATGAGGAGTCAGTATGTTACAAGTGCTCTCTAAGTCATGAAGCTAAACAGTGTACTAGTGAGTCTTATAAATGTATCAACTGCGCTGAGTATAATTTAAAAAACAAAAATTCATTAATTTCGACACAACATGTATGCGGGGACAAGCAGCAGTGCGCTATGTACAAGAAGCAGCTTAATATATTAATATCTAAAATTGATTATGGCCAGTAGCTCAAATAAAAATAATTCTAAGCTAATGAGTATAGCGCATTTGAATGTAAGTTCCCTGTTTACAGGATTTACTGAATTTCAGAATTTGATATATTCCAATGACTTTGATGTGGTAGCGGTGATGGAGACTTGGATTTCTGATTATATACCTTCATCAGTGGTCAATACGGATAATTATAAACTATATTTTTAATAGCTACTGTTAAATTATTGTGTGAATTATATATTTTTGTTGTGGTTATTGCGTATTTATATTATTATTTTCTTCCTAGATATTGCATCTCTAAGTTAATTTTATTATTTTATTGTTTTTGTATTTAATATTTATTTTGTAAGGTTGAGTGGAATAGCCTATGGCTAGACTCCGCCTAATCATGTATCATTTTATCATGAATAAAGTCCTATGTATGTATGTATGTATGTATTTTTTCTAGTTAATTTTATTCCTAGTTAGAAACAAACACTGTTGCCAACGTAAGTCGAGGAGTCCTCAACCGTGATTTAATTTAAACTAAATCAGTTTATCCAACTTAAAGAAAAAAAATATCAAAGCCTACTTTACTATATAAAGATCGTGAATGGATAACAGTTGTGTAATTTTGCGTTTTTGTCCAGCGGACGAAAGTACTATGAGACACCTAGTCAAGGTACCGTTGCTAAAATCAGCAGCGGCATTGGTAAGATAAGAGGAGCGCTTAAAGTAGCTCAACCCATAGATGGCGCCATACACCCACCTGAGACCCAAACAATTGAAAACGGGACAGTCGAAGACATAATTATTTCCGAGTGTGGTAATATTTTCCGGGACTTGAGTGCGTGGAGGGTCTCGATTTTATCATATCAGGTTAATACCGACTCAAGCACACACTTTTTTTTTTTTTAACGAAAAACTTACAGACGACTAACAAAATCGTCAGTTTTTGCATAAACGTCCAACGATTGGATGTCGTTGATGACTGTACAAAGCGGCACTGGATAGTATCTAGGAAGGATCAGGATTTTTACACCCTGAAAGCAAAGTTGGTGGAGTTTCACGGCGAAAACGAGTTCAACGATGCGTCACTTCCGTCTAGAAAGTATTAATCGCGGTTTTGTTGTTTTTTGTCTAGTGTTTAGTTTTTTTAAAGAGCTGGCAGTTCGCTTGAAATCAGAATGAAAAAGTATGAGGAGTTTCTAACCAAACTTCTCCAGAAACCGTCGCTGAGGGGCAGCGACTTGTTGTTTTCGTTTCTGACGGCTGAAGAAGACTTCACGGTGTTGATGGCCACGAGTGCCCAGAATGTACAGGATTTGGGTAACATTTATCAGTCGGTGGCGCATAAACTGAGGAAGGAGAAGGGGCAACATTTGGATTCTTTCATGGGGACGTTTTTATCGTCGACTGGAAAATCAAAATCGGGGTATTTTATATTTTAAACAGTGATTGGGGCAATTGCTTTAACAATTACTTTTTGCACTTTGAAAAATTTGATGAAGATGTGTCTAAATAACTTTAGACCAATTTTTTGCGTTTAAAAGAGAAAGTCTTCCAGGCGCCTAGTATTTTTTTTTTAATATAAAAAATCTTCGAGGTTTTTTGCGTTTTGTTTTTAAAATACTTTTTAAAAATCTCGAGTTCTTTATTTGGAAATAATTTTACAGAATCTTAAGGGCTCCTAGCGTCTTTTTTTTTAAATATGTGATGTTTCGTTTTTGAAGGAGAAATCAAAATATTGTCAAAACCGAAAATTTGGAAAATCAAGAATTTTAAAAATCTAAAAAATACAAAAATTAAAGTATCGAATACATGAACATGCTGAGATATGTAAGATTTAAAAACTCGCAAAATTTTGAAAAATCGAGTAAGTAAAAAATCAAAAAACAAAGTCGAAACATCAAATGATCGATAAGTGGAGAAGTCGAAAAATCAAAAAAGTGGGATATCGAAATAGCTAAATTGAAAAACTTAAACTTAAAAAACCCGATAAATCGAAAAACTGAAAAATCGAAAAGCTGAAAAATTATTTCCGAAAAATTGAAAAATGAGAAGGCAAAAAATCGAAAGACTGAGAAATCGAAACAACAAAAAAATGAAAAACATAAAATTTAAAAATTCGAAAACTATGAGATTTAAAAGATCACAAAATTTTGAAAAATCGAATCAGTAAAAATAAAAAAAAACAATGTCGAAAAATCCCAAAATTGAAAAATCTCAATACCTGAACATAGAAAAGTCGAAAAATTAAAAAGTTCATTAACCGAGAAATTGAGAAATCGAAAAATCCAAAAATTTAGAAATGTTAAAAATTCAAAAACTGAAAAATAGAAAAATTTAATAAATACATGAATCCCAAAACTCAAACGTCGAAAAATTGAGAAATCGAAAAATCGCTAAATCGAAACATCGAAAGGTCGAGAAGTCCAAAAGTGGAAAAATCGAAAAATTGAAAAATTTTAACCTAAAAAACCAATAAACCAAAAAATGAAAAATAGAACGAATCGAAACGCCGGAAAATCTAAAAACGAGAAAGCGAAAAATCGAAAGAAAACCGTTAAATCGAAAATCGAAAAATCAAAAAATTTAGAAACGTCAAAAATTCAGAAACTGAAAAATAGAAAAATTTAAATAAATACATGAATCCCAAAACTCAAACGTCGAAAAATTGAGAAATCGAAAAATCGAACAATCGAAAAATTTTAACCTAAAAAACCAATAAACCAAAAAATGAAAAATAGAACGAATCGAAAAGCCGGAAAATCTAAAAACGAGAAAGCGAAAAATCGAAAGAAAACCGTTAAATCGAAAATCGAAAAATCAAAAAATTTAGAAACGCCAAAAATTCAAAAAACCAATAAACCAAAAAATGAAAAATAGAACGAATCGAAACGCCGGAAAATCTAAAAACGAGAAAGGGAAAAATCGAAAGAAAACCGTTAAATCGAAAAATCAAAAAATTTAGAAACGTTAAAAATTCAAAAACTGAAAAATAGAAAAATTTAAATAAACGCATGAATCCCAAAACTCAAACGTCGAAAAATTGAGAAATCGAAAAATCGAAAAATTGAAAAATTTTAACCTAAAAAAACCAATAAACCAAAAAAATGAAAAAGAGAACGAATCGAAAAGCCGGAAAATCTAAAAACGAGAAAGCGAAAAATCGAAAGAAAACCGTTAAATCGAAAATCGAAAAATCAAAAAATTTAGAAACGTCAAAAATTCAGAAACTGAAAAATAGAAAAATTTTAATAAATACATGAATCCCAAAACTCAAACGTCGAGAAATCGAAAAATCGCTAAATCGAAACATCGAAAGTTCGAGAAATCCAAAAGTCGAAAAATCGATAAATTGAAAGAAAACCGTTAAATCGAAAATTGAAAAATCTAAATGTCGACAAACTGATAAATTATTCCCGAAAAATCGAAAAATAAAAAGGCAAAAAATCGAAACAAAAAAGTGAAAAATCTAAAATTTAACAATTCGAAAAATTGAAATTTAAAAAATCCAGAAATCAAAACATCAACGAATTGAAAAATCAAAAAATTGAAAAATCGCAAAATGTAAGATTTCAGAAAATAGCAAAACTTTGAATAATCGAATAAGTAAAAAATAAAAAAAAACAAAGTCGAAGTATTGAAAAATCCAAAAATTGAAAAATCGAAAAATTTAAATACATAAATTCCAAAACTGAAACATCAAAAGATCGAGAACTCCAGAAGACGAAAAATTTTAACTCAAAAAAAACAATAAACCAAAAAGCGAAAAATTGAAATATCGAAAAACTGAAAAATTTGTTCCCAACAAATCGAAGAACCGGGAAATTTAAAAACGAGACGGCGAAAAATCGAAATATCGACAAACAAAAAAAGTGAAAAATCGAATAAGTAAAAAATAAAAAAAACAGAATGTCGAAAAATCTAGAAGTTGAAGTATGAAAAATTCCAAAATTGAAAAATCTCAGTACTTAAACATAGGAAATTTGAAAATTTACAAAATCGAGAAATCAAAACATCAACGAATAGAAAAATCGAAAAATGTAAGATAAAAAAAATCGCAAAATTTTGAAAAATCGAATATGTAAGTAAAAAATCAAAAAAAAAACAAAGTCAAAAAATCGAAAAATTTAAAAGTCGAAGTATTGAAAAATCCCAATACTTAATTGTAGAAAATTTGAAAATCGAAAAATCGAGAAATCAGCAAGATGAAAAATCGAAAAGTCGAAAAATTAAAAAATGCATTAATCGAGAAATTTTGAAATCAAAAAATCCAAAAATTTAGAAACGCATAAAATTTAAAAATTAAAAAATACTAAATTGGAAACTTGAATAATTGAAAAACTGGGAAATCGAAACCGAAAAATTGAAAAATTTAATTTTGAAAAACCCGATAAATCTAAAAATGGAAAAATCAATATCGGAAAACTGAAAAATTAATTCCGAAAAATTGAAAAAGCGAAAAATGAGAAGGCAAAAAATCGAAAGACAGAAATCGAAAGAACAAAATAGTGAAATATGTAAAAATATAAAAATTCTAAAAATTGAAAATTTACAAAATCGAGAAATCAAAACATCAACGAATTGAAAAAACTAAAAATTGAAAAATCGAAAAATGTAAGATTTAAAAAAATCGCAAAATTTTGAAAAATAGAAATGGAAATCGGAAGATCGAGAAGTCCAGAAGTCCAAAAATTGAAAAATTTTAACTTAAAAAAACCAACAAACCAAAAACTGAAAAATTAGTTCCAACGAATCGAAAAGCCGGAAAATCTAAAAACGAGAAAGCGAAAAATCGAAATATCAACAAACTGATAAATTATTTCCGAAAAATCGAAAAATGAAAAGGCAAAAAATCGAAACAACAAAAAAGTGAAAAATCTAGAATTTAAAAATTCGAAAAATTGAAAATTTACAAAATAGAGTAACCAAAACATCAACGAATCGAAAAATCGGAAAATGTAAGATTAAAAAAAATCTCAAAATTTTGAAAAATCGAATAAGTAAAAAATCAAAAAAACAAAGTCGAAAAATCTAAAAATATAAAACTCGGAAGTAAAAATCCTAAAATTGAAAAATCCCGATATGTACGTCAATGTAGAAAATTTGAATTGAGAAATTGAGAAATCGGAAAGACGAAAATTCGAAAAGTCGAAAAATTAAAAAATCCATTAATCGAGAAATTGAGAAATCGAAAAATCAAAAAATTGAAAAAACCGAAAGACTGAGAAATCGAAAAAACAAAGTGAAATATCTAAAATTTAAAAATGTTAAAAATTGAAAATTTACAAAATCGAGAAATCAAAACATCAACGAATCGAAAAATCTAAGATTTAAAATTTTGATAAAATCGAATAAGTAAAAAATCAAAAAAACAGAAAGTCAAAAAATCTAAATATTTAAAAGTCGAAGTACTGAAAAATCTCAAAATTGAAAAATCGCAATACTTAAACGTAGAAAATTTGAAAATCGAAAAATTGAGAAATCAGAAAGACGAAAAATCAAAAAGTCGAAAAATTAAAAAATCCATTAATCGAGGAATTTAGATTTCGCAAAATCCAATATTTAGAAACGCCAAAACTTGAAAAATCGAAAAATTTAAATACATAAATCCCAAAACTGAACCGTCGGAAAATTGGAAACTCGATAATCGGAAAACTGAGAAATCGAAATCGAATAATTGAAAAATCGCGAAATCGAAACATCAAAAGATTGGGAAGCCGAAAAATCGAAAAATTCCGATGTCGAAATAGCTACAGATTGAAAAATGGGAAAATTAAAATTGAAAAATTTAAACTTAAAGAACCCGATAAATCGAAAAACTAAAAATTAATTCCAAAAAATTGAAAAATCCAAAAAGTAAGATTTAAAAAATTGCAATTTTTTTAAAAATCGAAGAAGAAATCAGAAAAACAAAAATTCTAAAAATTTAAAAGTCGAAGTATTGAAAAATCCCAATATGTACTTAAACGTAGAAAATTTGCAAAATCAAAGAATTAAAAAATCCATTAATCAAGAAATTGAGAAATCGAAAAATCCAAAAATTTCGACACGCCAAAAATTGAAAAATCCAAAAATTTAAATACGTGAATCCCAAAACTGAAACCTCGAAAAATTGGAAAGATGAATTATTGAAAAATTGAAAAATCGAAAAATCGCGAAATCGAAAGATCGAGAAGTCCAGAAGTCCAAAAATCGAAAATAAACAAAAAGTGAAAAATCGAAACATCGAAAAATTGAAAAATTAGTTTCAACAAATTGAAAAACCGGAAAATAAAAAAACGAGAAAGCAAAAAATCGAAAAAAAACCGTTAAATCGAAAATTGGGAAATCGAAAAATCTAAAATTTAAAAATTCGAAAAATTGAAAATTTTAAAAATCGAGCAATCAATACATCAACAAATCGAAAAATCAAAAAATTGAAAAATCGAAAAATGTAAGATTTAAAAACTCGCAATATTTTGAAAAATCACATTCGTCAGTTTGTTCGAATTCTCACTAAGTCAGGTTGATAAAAAAACACCACTTCCCATTTAAAATCTTCCCATGATAAATTAAAATATTCATTATGGGTTAAAAGTAATTGCAAAAAGTAATTGTAAAGTAACTGAATTACTCAAAAAAGTGCTGACGTCTTTGCAAAATTTGGTAATTATAGAAAATTCGAATGGGCCGAAATTGGCGACGAAGCAACCCTTAGAACAACGTTCGAAACCCGTCCTCCCATGCCCAAAACCTTCCGCAACCACGTCTTCAACGACAACTTCGGCACATCCTTAAAAGACTTGAAAGATTCGTGCAGCAGTTCGTTCAATCCAGTCGGAATGATCCAGTGCGTGTTTTATTTGCGTACGTAGCGACTTTCCATTTTTCGAAGTTTCTAAAGTCTGTATTTCAGTAAAATACGTTTTTAAAATTCCCCAGTGTCTACTCAAACTGTACGCCGCCGTCTGCAGCGTAGCGCAGGAAGCAGTGGAAGCTTTCTTTAGCATTTTTATCGAAAGAAAATTGAAACAGGGGCTATCACCCTCAAACTTGACGTATTTAGTACAGCTGCTGGGGGGTAAATTTTTCGTAAAATAACGACAATGGGTGATGATTGTTTTCAGATGTTATTTTCGTGCCACGTGACGCTCACACTAGAGAAGAACTGATACAAAGGAGAGAAAGGGCGTTCGCTGAGATAGAAAATTTTGTACCTTTGTATGTGGAGAGTTTCATTGGGAAGAACTTCAGTGGGGGCTTGAAAACGCTTCTCGAGATTTTGCAGCACCCGGATTATAATAAGCAGTTGGCGTACAATTTACTGGATCTTATTTTGTCTGAAATGTACCCGAGTTTACGGAATGCTAAATAAATTTTAAAAAATTTCCAGTCTTCCAATTTTTCAATTTCTTTAATTTTCAATGTTTTGATTTTACAATACATATTTCTTTTTTTTTTATTTTTCACTTTTTCTATTCTTAAGATTTTTCAAGTTTTCATTTTGTAATTTTTGGTTTTTTATTTTTGATTTTTCAGTTTTACAATTTCTCGACTTCCAAAATTTTCAATTTTTCGTTCCTTCAGTTTTTCGGTTTGCATCAGTTTTTCAATTTGGCAATTTTTCAATATTACAGATTTTCATTTTTCGATTTTTCAGTTTCTCAGTTTTTAATTTTTCCCGTTTTCAATTTTTTGTTTCCGACTTTTATTTTTCATTTTCCCGATTTTTATATCACAATTTTTCGTTTTTTCATTTCCTTTATTTTTTGTTGTTTCTTTCGATTTTACAATTTTTCGTTTATTCAGTTTTTCAAACTTTCAGTTTTTTTTTAATTTTTCTTCAAATTTTGAAGTTTGATTTTCACTTTTTACATTTTTCAAGTTTTTATTATACTTACACTTTTTCGTTTTTTTATTTTTTATTTTTCAATTTTACAGTTTCTTGACTTCTAAATTTTTCAATTTTTCGTTTTGTCAATTTTTCAAGTTCTCGATTTTTATTTTTCATTTTCCCGATTTTTTTAATTTTCATTTTCTCGGTTTTATGTCACAAATTTTCATTTTTTCAATTCCTTTGTTTATTTCTTGATGTTTCTTTCGATTTTTCAATTTTTCGTTTCGTCAATCTTTCGAATTTTCAGTTTCTCAATTTTTCGTTTCCACAATTTTTCCCACAATTTTTCATGTTCCTGATTTTTATTTTTCAATGTGGCGAATTTTTAATTTTTATTTTCTCGATTTATATCACAATTGTCCGTTTTTTCATTTCCTTTATTTTCTGTGTTTTTTTTTTCCGATTTTACAATTTTTCAAATTTTCAGGCTTTGAATTTTCAGTTCGTCCATTTTTCAATTTTTAAATTTTTACTTTGCGGTTTTGGATTTCCAGTCTTCCGATTTTCCAATTTCTTTAATTTCCAATATTTCTATTTCATAATACATATTTCTTTTTTTTTGATTTTTCACTTTTTCTATTAAGATTTTTCAAGTTTTCATTTTGTAATTTTTGGTTTTTTATTTTTGATTTTTCAGTTTTACAATTTCTTTTTTTCTAGTTTCAATTTTATATATATTCGTTCACGATCTTTATATAGTAGGGTTGGCCATGAAAATTTAGTGAGTTTGTTGGTATTCGATGCAGAAGAATAAAAATTCCCTGAACTTTTTTCGTTAGGTTATGTTTTATTTACAAAAAAAATGAAAATGCTTAAAATGTTTCAAGTTTTCATTGTATATTTTTCGTTTCCTCAATTTTTCAAGTTCTCAAGTTTTATTTTTCATTTTCCCGATTTTTTTAATTTTCATTTTCTCGGTTTTGTGTCACAAATTTTCATTTTTGCAATTCCTTTATTTCTTGTTGTTTCTTTCGATTTTTCAATTTTTCGTTTCGTCAATTTTTCGAATTTTCAGTTTCCCAATTTTTCGTTTCCACAATTTTTCATGTTCCCGATTTTTATTTTTCACTGTGGCGAATTTTTAATTTTTATTTTCTCGATTTATGTCACAATTGTCCGTTTTTTCATTTCCTTTATTTTCTGTGTTTTTTTTCGGTTTTACAATTTTTCATTTGTTCAATTTTTCAAATTTTCAGGCTTTGAATTTTCAGTTCGTCCATTTTTCAATTTTTAAATTTTTACTTTGCAGTTTCTGGATTTCCAGTCTTCCGATTTTCCAATTCCTTTAATTTTCAATATTTCTATTTCATAATACATAATTTCTTTTTTTTTGATTTTTCACTTTTTCGATTCTTAAGATTTTTCAAGTTTTCATTTTGTAATTTTTCGTTTTTTATTTTTGAGTTTTCAATTTTACAGTTTCTCGACTACCAAAATTTTCAGTTTTTCGTTCCTTCAATTTTTCGGTTTGCATCAGTTTTTCAATTTGGCAATTTTTCAATATTACAGATTTTCATTTTTCGATTTTTCAGTTTCTCAATTTTTAATTTTTCCCTTTTCCAATTTTTTGTTTCTGATTTTTATTTTTCATTTTCCCGATTTTTTAATTTTCACTTTTTCGATTTTGTCACAATTTTTTGTTTTTTCATTTCCTTTATTTTTTGTTGTTTCTTTCGATTTTACAATTTTTCATTTATTCAATTTATCAAATTTTCAGGTTTTTTTCAATTTTTCTTCAAATTTTCAAGTTTGATTTTCACTTTTTACATTTTTCAAGTTTTTATTATACTTACACTTTTTCGTTTTTTTATTTTTGATTTTTTAATTTTACAGTTTCTTGACTTCTAAATTTTCCAATTTTTCAATAATTACAATTTCTCATTTTTCCATTTTTCACATTCTCGATTTTAGTTTTTCCCTTTTTCAATTTTTCGTCCCCTAAATTTTTCAACTCCGATCTTTATTTTGCATTTTCCTGATTTTTTATTTTTCATTTTCTCGATTTTATATCACAATTTTTTGTTTTTTCATTTCCTTAATTTTTGTTGTTTCTTTCGATTTTCCAGTTTTTCGTCTATTCAATTTTTCAAATTTTCAGGCCAATCGATTCCAATTCGTCGATTCTCCAATTTTTAAATTTTTCAGTTTGCAGTTTTTGGGTTTCCACCTCTTTTTTACTTTTTGGATTTTCAATTTTTCGTTAAACTTTAGATTTTTCAAATTTTCGACAGTTTTTTCTATTTCTCGATATTTCGATTTTTGGATTTCTCGGTTTTTCGATTTTCCAATTTTTCGATGTTTCGATCTTTCAGTTATCCGATTTTTCAATTTTTTTAAATTCTGGAGTTTCGATTTGTCGATTTTTCAGTTTTAGATTTTCGAATTTTTCTTTTTTGATTCTTCGATGTGTGGATTTCTGCATTTTTCAATTTTGCGGTATTTCAATTGTTCAATGTTTTAAATTGTAGATTTTTCGATTTCTGGATTTTTTTATTTTCCAGTTCTTCAATATTTCTGTTTTCCAATTTTTCAAATTTTGACGTTGCTAAATTTTCAGTTTTCCGATTTTTCAATTAATATATTTTTTTTAATTTTCCCGTTTCTCGAATTCGCAGTTTCGATTTTTCAGTTCTTCAATTCTTCGATTTTTGGATTTTTCGGTTGGCTAAATTTTTAAAATCTCAATTCTGAATATTTGTTTCAGTGTTGGGATTTTTCAATATTTCTATTTTTCGACTTTTCGATTTTTTATTTTTTGGATTTTCAGTTTTTCGTTTTTTAAACTTGAGATTTTTGAATTTTCGACTGTTTTATATGTATTTCGATTTCTAAATTTTTCGAGTTTTCAGTTCTTGTATGTTTTAATTTTTCTTTTTTCCCAATTTTTTATTTTTCGATTTTTCAATTTTTTGAGAACTCGATTTATCGAGACTCGGATGTTTGGATGTTTTGATTGTCTCAGTTTTTGAATTTTTCGATGTTTCGATTTATCGGTTTTTCGTTTTTTACTGTTTGAATTATCCGATTTTTCAATTTTTTAAATTTTCAAGTTTTGACGTTTCTGAATTTTCAGTTTTCCGATTTCTCAATTAATCTATTTTTTGAATTGCCCAATTTCGATTTGCCAAGGTTTCGATTTTTCAGTTTTTCAGTTCGTCAATTTTTCGATTCTTTAGGTTTGCAATTTTTCGGTTTTTCGATTTCCCAATTTTTTAATTTTTTAATCTCCCAGTTTTTGGATATTTCGTTCAATTTTGTGAGTTTTCTCAATTTTTCGAATCTTCAATTTTTCAATTTTGGAATTTTTTAGTATTTCGACTTTTGGATTTTTCACGTTCTGGATTTTTCCAAAAAAAACTTAAAAATTTGAAAAATTGAGAGATTGAAAGATCAAAAGAACGAGAAATCGAAAAATGATGAAGTCGAAAAGTCGAAAAATAGAGAAATCGACAAACAAAAAGTTAAAAGTTGAAAAATTGGAAAAGCGGAAAAATCAAAAAACGAAAAAATGGAAAACTGATAAATCGAAAACCTGAACAATCAAATCTCGATAAATCGGGAATGAAAAATTAACAAATCGAAAAATTGAAAAACAGAACATCTAAAACCAGGAAGTCGAAAAATTGAAACATCGAAAAAGTAATAAGGTAGACACATCGAAAAATCCAGAAATCAAAAATAGAAAACCCGAAGAATTGAAATATGTATTGATTTCTGGATTTTTTGATTTTCCAGTTCTTCAATATTTCTGTTTTCCAATATTTCAAATTTTGACGTTGCTAAATTTTCAGTTTTCCAAGTGTTCAATTAATGTTTTTGTTTTTTATTTTCCCGTTTCTCGAATTAACAGTTTCGAATTTTCAGTTCTTCAATTCTTCGATTTTTGGATTTTTCGGTTGGCTAAATTTCTAATTTCTCAATTTTGGATATTTGTTTCAGTTTTGGGATTTTTCAATACTTCTATTTTTCGACTTTTCGATTTTTTATTTTTTGGATTTTCAGATTTTCGTTTTTCAAAGCTTAGATATTTCAATTTTCGACTGTTTTATATGTATTTCGATTTCTGAATTTTTTCAGTTTTCAGTTCTTGTATATTTTAATGTTTCTTTTTTCCGAATTTTTTATTTTTCGATTTTTCAATTTTTCGATTCATCGGTTTTTCGTTTTTCTATTTTTCGGCTTTTCGATTTTTGAATTATCCGATTTTTCAATTTTCCAATTTTTTTAATTTTCAAGTTTTGACGTTTCTGAATTTTCAGCTTTCCGATTTCTCAATTAATCTATTTTTTGAATTGCCCATTTTCGATTTGCCAAGGTTTCGATTTTTCAGTTTTTCAGTTCGTCAATTTTTCGATTCTTTAGGTTTGCAATTTTTCGGTTTTTCGATTTCCCAATTTTTTAATTTTTTAATCTCCCAGTTTTTGGATATTTCGTTCAATTTTGTGAGTTTTCTCAATTTTTCGATTCTTCAGTTTTTCAATTTTGGGATTT